AATTATACAATTGAATGAAATTATTGGCTATGCCATTGTTGAAGAAAGCAAAATGCATAGTAAAAAAAATGATATAATTTTAATTTTTTGAGTCATCATTTAAAAAAAATATCATAACTAAATATAACATGAGATATAATTAAAAAATTCACGAGTCTCATAAATCTTTCACAATTCAACCTACAATGATATAATCTAATAAGTGTCAGCTTTTGATTGGTTAAACACTCAATAATATGGGAGGGACCTACTACCCTTGCCATATTATTGTGGATGTATTTGTGAGTGTAAAATGTGAGTCTTTAGCATTGTAGACTAAAATCATGTCATGAATAAATTATAATTAAAGAATAATAATTAGTGTGCTTGGTTTCAATTTTTTGAAAACTGAATTTTTTATTTTTCGTATTTTTTTTGTTTTTAGTAAATATTTTTAAACTTTTAAACGTTTTATTTTTTTATTTTTTTATATGCACTTTACTTAGATGTATTAAAAAAGTAAAATATTTGTGAAAAAATTAATAAATACACAAAAATACGAAAAATATACTCACTTTTCTTTATATATATATATGTATATATTTGGTATTTAGTGAATTTTTTAAAGTTTTTTTTCATGAAAATTATATTTTTTAAGTGTATTTATATTAGGTGTGTCTAAAAATTTAAAAAAATGCTTAAAATATTAAAAAAAATTAGGAAAAACAAAAAAAAAATACAGAAAATAAGAAAGTAGAATTTTTTGAAAAATATTTTCAAAAAACTAGAAACAAACATTGTAAATATAACTAAAAATACATATAATACATGCTTTTTAGAAAGGAATATACTAGAATTTCCCCTATTCATGAGTAAACTATTTCTCACAGTCAGACCCATAATTTGAGAACTAATTTATATACTTTCTCTGTCCCTAAATAATAGTATATTTTTTAGAGTCTAATTTTTTTTGATAGTATAATTATTATATTTTAAAAATATTAAATTTTCAAAATTATCCTTTGATAATATATTTTTTTAAAAATATCGATTGTCATAATTGTACTTTTGTGTTGTTAATGAATTTAAAACAAGGGCAAAATAATAAATTCATATTATTTTATTACTTAATTTTTGAAAAGGGACAAATATTTTGGGATAATGAAAAATGAAATAAGAGATTAATATGAAATTTTAGGAGTGTTAGGGAAAGGATTTTTTTTTTTAAAAATTTTAGGACAAAATTTATAAAAAGGCAAAATAAGCTAAAATAACTAATAAGATAAAATATTATATCAACACTACAAAAATTAAGATTTTAGAGACTAAAATTTAGGGATAAAATTATTTTTTAGAGATCAAATAGTTGTGTTACGAAAAGTATCGTTATTATATTTTTAGCAACAAAAATTAGCCATTAGTGATAAATTATTATCCTTTTGAGACCAAATTTTTTATCTCAAAAAATAAATCATTTTGAGACCAAATTATTTTGTCCCTAAAAATCTATTTATTAGTGACATTTTTAAAATTTTGTTACTAAAAATCTTATTTTTAACTTTTCGGGAAGACCTTTTAGCCACTATCCTCGTGACGATAGAAATTAATCTCTAAATGTCTTTTACAACAAAATTTTCACATTGAGAAACCAAAATATTTGGTTTCTAAAACTCTTATATATTGTGGTACAGACTCACAATTATTTCACTTTTTTTCTTACAAATATCACATTTAATTATAAAAAAAATCTAATTATCTTTTCAAATATAAATATTTTAATTTATTAAATAACCAAAAAATTAGAATAACATATTAAAATAACAAAGGCGTTTATGGGGGTGGAAGCTCTATGAGGGGTGCTAATTTGAGAACTAATTTATATAATATTTAATCTCAACCATGATTTAACTGAAAGGAAAATGAGTGGGAGCACTAATTAGTGCTATTACTAATGATGTAGTAGTGGATGGGTCCTATTGCCACAATGTTTTTGTGTCTTGTTTTTTTTTTTTAAAAAAAAAGTGGATGTCAAATTCATTAGTGATGCTTTAGAATACCACTTTTAGCAGGAGGTAACATTGCTGTTAACTGAAATTTTATAGGGTAGGAGCTCTATGAGGGTGCTAATGTAGTGATTAGTGGGAAGACATTTTGGCTGCATCTTGTGAAAGTAAATTAAAGAAAAGTAGGGGGAGATGGGCCATTCTTGCACATGGGTGAAGGTCAGATAAGGAGAATACAAAATGGTTTCATTAAAAAAAAAAAAAACCTCAATTTTTTTATGAGGTTAGAGAGCAAAAGCATCTTCTATAGGCCCAACTGCCTCTAGAAAGTGGAGAGACTGTTAATAATTTATTTTTTTTCTTCCTAATTTTTTTCCAACTTCACATGTGGTGGGTTTGGAGTTTTCGACTTTTGACTTCGTGCGCTAATAAAAGCATCCTTCCCGCAAACAAGGCCACCACCACTAGGACTACGATTGTCCTCTGCTTTGGCCTCACCATCTATTGTGACATTACCCATCTACTGTAGATTGTTTTAATTTTTTATTGTTTTAATAGGTTAAAATTTGTATTTGAAAAGATGATTAGATTTTTTAATAATTGAATATAATATTTGTGAGAGAAAAAATAAAATGATTATAAATTTAATGTGATATTTTATCTTTTTTTATTATTTTAACTTATTTTGCCTTTTTATAATTCTTGGTCAAAAAATTCTCCAAATCTAACTGGCCAAACACTCGATATGTCAAGTACATCTGGTCTCTTCTCTTATTTAGGAGTGTTTTAGAAAAATAATTAAAAATTATTTTTTTATTTTTTATTATTTTTTTATGAGAAAGAAAAGTGAATTAAAAGTTAAAAAGTGATTTTTAACTCACTTCTCAATATATAGGGTTTAGTGCCATTTTGAGAACATGGTAAAAAGCCACGTTTTTAGACAAAATGTCCAAAAACGTGGCTGCCAAAAACGCCAGAAAAGCCATTTGGCAAGTGCCAAAAATGCAGCCGTAAAATTACAAATTAGGGCTTATGAAAAAAAAAATAAAAAAATAAATCTCTTATGTTGGGTAAGGGTATTTTAGTCATTTTAATTTGATTTGACACCATAAATAAATATTAAACTAAAAAGTAAAAAGTCAACTTTTTACCAGCTTCCCAAATCACTTCCAAAAAAACCAAAAAAACTTAGTAAAAAATCAAAAGTCAACTTTTTACCAACTTTCCAAAACAACCCTTAGTATTTTGCTATTCCTGAGTTTTTATTTTAGGACTATAAAAAAAGGCTACATATGCATGGGTTGGTCTAGGCATGTTGGTCTAGGCGTGAAGGATTAGTTTTTCTTTAACACCGCAAAAGATTAGTTTGATATGATGGTTTTACAAATATGAATTAGAAATTGGAGAGTTGATAATTAATTTAAAGAGGAAATAGAAAATAAAATTCTGTCAAGTTAAACATTGATGTCCCTCTTCTATAAAGATTAGTTAGGAAGATTGTTGAATATTTGAATTGATATCAATTTAAAACATCAAGTTTCAGTTATTGTAAAGTTTAATTTAAATTATTATACAATTTATCCCAAAAAAAGGCATCACAATAATATTATTTATATTTATCTATATACATATATATACCATATATAAAATGAATAGGTCATTTATGCTGTATTTGGTTGAGGGATTTGAGAAGGGATTTGGAAAGGGAATGGAAATGGAAATGATAGGTGAAATGTGAAAAAAATATACCTACATTTCACATAGTTTCACACACCTTTTTCTTTTCCTTTCCAAATCCTTCTCTAAATTTCTCAACCAAACACAGCATTAATATCTAAGCTTTCTTCTTTTACCAAGTGTCTTACCTTAACCTCTAACCTAAGACTAGTAGTTTGATAAATAATATTTTTACAACTTGAACAACAGATCTTATATAAATAAAATTTTATATTTTACAAATTTAATAACACGCTCATTAAGTGGACACACGCCACTAAGTAATATATTATTGTGACATTATTATATTGCATTCGTGGCATAAAATAAATTTGTAGTTCTTTTTTTGGGATAGGGAAAATAAGACTCTATTTGGTTTAATTTTCAAATCATAATTACATATTTATATTTGAATGCTATGTTTGATTTAAATTTTTAAAAATTGATTCCAATGTCACATTTGAACACACGTTCCAATGTATGTTTGGCAGAGTAAAGTTCTTGAATTTTGAATCTGCGATTGGATTTACCCAGTCATCCACCTGGACATCCCCCGGACGTTCGGATGATTGACCAGAACAGTGCTTTTTTTGGAGCAATTGTAACCTGTTATTTGAAAATAAAAAATTTATATTTGTTTTTGATATTTTTTAAATATATAAATTATTTTTTTAGATTGTTTTTAAACAAAACAATTAAAAAAAAATTCAACAAAATTTACAATCAAAAGTAATTTTAAAGCACTAGCTGAATATTTTTTTTAAACAAAAAATTATATATATTTTTAATATTTTAAATAAAAAAATATTTTTGAATTTTTAAAATTTTTTTAAATAAAAAATTTATTTTTTAAATAATTATTTTTTTGAATTAAATTTTAAAAAGAATTTAATTATGAGTTTTAAATAGAATTTTTAATAAAGTTTTGAGTTGTGTATTTGGGTATGAATTATAAATTTTTGAAAGTTTTGAAACCCTTTTCAAAATTCATAACCAAACAACTTTTCTCATTTCAAAACTCATTTTAAAAATTCAAAACTCAATTCAACATTCAATTTAAAACTCTATAAAATTTATAACCAAATAAATTAATTTTTTTGAAATCATGATTCAATAATTCATAAACTCAAAATATAACTCTATTTTTAAATTATAATTTTTAAACTAAATCAAACCATACTTAAATTTGTAGTTAGCCAATCAGATGCATTTAAAATTTAGCAGGAACAAAACTCACACCAATACTGTAATTATCTTCAAAACCAAGTGCAATCCATTAACCCAATTCCTATAAAACCTTCCTCCTTTCCCACTTTCCAATCCCTCTCCCAACTCATTCAACTCATTTTCTACCAAAAACAAATACACAACAACAAACTCTCTCACTTTCCATCACTTTCTCGGGAAAAAATGTCAGCCTGCAGCAAAATCCGCCACATTGTCAGGCTCCGCCAGATGCTCCGGCGGTGGCGCAAGAAGGCGGCGCTGGGCTCCCGCCTCACCCCCTCCGACGTCCCCGCCGGGCACGTGGCGGTCTGCGTGGGCACCAACTGTCGAAGATTCGTGGTTCGAGCGACTTACCTGAACCACCCGGTTTTCAAGAAGCTCTTGGTGCAAGCCGAAGAAGAGTACGGGTTCACCAACACCGGTCCATTGGCCATTCCATGCGACGAGTCGGTCTTCGAAGAAATCCTTCGGTACTTGTCCCGGTCCGAGTCATACAACTCGACCCGGTTCACCAATATCGAGGACTTCCAAAGGTATTGCCACCTCGGTATCCGAACCAATCTGGACTTCTGGCCCGAATCTCGGCCTCTTCTTCATGGGCTTACCGACAAGTCCGTTTGGTAAAACCAAAATTTTGACCCGGGTTGTCTCGTTTGACTCGGCCGAGTGACTGCCGAGTCAGGGGGGACTTGTACTTACCAATTTGATAAAGGTAAGTTGGTGGGTTTTTCAAATTATTACTATTATTTCTTTAATGGGGAAGGTGGTGAGTTACTGAATACTGAGTTCTGAGTTTTTGAGTCTAATATAATATGGAGGAGAGTGAAATGGTGATGGCAAATGAGTGGGCGAGTTGACCACTGAGTCGTCCCGGGTTCGAATTGCAAGTGAGGAACAAGAGAGTCTAAAAGTGATTGAATGTGGGTCGCATTTTTTTTATTTTATTTTTGTAAATGATGTGATTTATTATTGATTTGATTAATGGAATTTGTAGAGCAATTTAAGTGATTGATTATCCATTATTATTTGTTAAATATGTTTTCAGCTTATTTCAATAAAAAAAATAGAATAATGCTTGGGACCCCCTTTTGGGGTCATCCCTCACCCCCTTTGTCACGTGGCGGGTGGTGATTGGGGGAGCAGGAAAAAAAAGAAAAAGAAAAAGAAAAAGTAACCAATGAGAGAGAGAGGGGGTCAAAGGGGTGGGGAAAAGGGGATGAATCATTGTTGAAAAAAATATTAGAGGCTTTAATGAAATTATTTAATATTTTATCAAATATTTAAATAAGTGTGAGATGAGTGTGAATCCTTTAATAAAAAATTTAATAATTTTATTGGTATCTTTTTAACATAACTTTATTTTAATTTAAATTTAAAAATGGTGGACATCGTGGGAACCGTTATGGGAGTTGTAATGACAGCAGGCCACGTGAAAGGGAGGACTGGAGAGCCCATTTTTTTTGTTTCACCTGATTCACTCTTTATTGGGGTCTACGTGTCTTCCTTGTATCACAATTTTACCAGATTAACGGAAGTCGTGAATGTAATAATATGTGTTGTGTTTGAATTATAAAATTTGGATAGAAATTTAAAAAAATAAAAAAATTATATTATATTTATATTATTTTTTTTTATTCATAATTGAAATATGATTTTAGAGAAATTTTAGTATTACGGTGAGAACTATTCTATGTTAAAGTAAAATTTGATAACAATTTTAAACTTATCTCAAACAATCTATATTTTAAAGGGAGACCTAAATGTCAAATTTGATAAGAGTATTGATCTCTATCACTCTGGTGATGAAATTCAGAAATCATAGTTTTATTTTTATTTTTTTTTAGTAGATTAAAAAAAATTACACCATGTGCATGTTTGGTTAAGTTTATTGTATGCTTCTAGATTATCAAAATTTTTAGTTCATTTAATTTATTTTTGTCTAACAAACTTTAAGCATTGCGCCAAACTTTATAACACAGACTATCAAAATAAATAGGGGAAATTGCAAATTAATAGAACACTTTATTAACTTTAATAATTAAAATCATAAATTTTTTCATGAATTTGTAATTTTTTTAAGAAAACTCCACTAATTTGTAATTTTTTCAAATAAATAAACTATAAGCAGTTTAGATAAATTGCACAAAACAACCTCAATGTTATCAAATTAATATTTTTAACATTATAACTTGTGAAAATTTGGTCATTAACATTAGAGCATTTTACACCTAGATGCTCTATCCTTCATAGGAACATGCAAGTTTTACCTCCTGGTGTAGGCCACAACATATGCTGGCTCAACTCAGAAGTGATCATAAAATTATATCCTCCAACAAACTTATTAGTGCCCCAGAAAGGGTGCACATGCTTGTGAGAAATACTCTGTATACATTATGAATGATCAACAAAGATTTATTATTTTATTTTCTATTATGGCTCATTTTTAAATTATTTATTTATTTTCTATTATGATGTTGGTTCTTAATAATAGAATGACTTCTTTTTTTACGTAGTTGATTGTTGAATTTGTTGAGACAATTATCAAAATATGCAAGTCTCCGGCCACTATGATTAGGTCTTGGGATGATCATGACATCCCCTCAAGTGTCATTTTTGAAGTAAATGGGACAAATACAATTGATCCACTTTCATCGGCGGTGAAAATTTCTTACAATAATGAACTTGCTTGTGTTGTTGGGGTAGCCCAAAAGTTGTTATAGAGATATGCCAACTTTGGACTTCTTTGTAACCAATTTTCTAGAAATTGGGAGTCCCAATCAATCTTTTTTTTTTATATAACTTTCAGAGTCTTATCATCAAAATTGTAAAAAATAAATAAATAAGCATTGAAAAATAAACAAAAAGATGGAGAGAGAGAGAGAGAGAGAGAGAGAGAGAGTAGTAGAAGAAGAAGAATTGTTATTGCTGTTAGAGAAATGTCACTTGGAAGTTTGGAAGTGTGCTTCTGGAATAGGGTGGACAAATATTGGGGTGGGTTAGGTTCGAGCCTAATCGATACTATATAATAAGAATATGTTTATTATCTCAAGCCTTGTTCGGCCTCAATATTGAGCCTAACTTACTTTGGAGTTGGTAAATGGGTGTCAATTTTTGTTACAGAAAAAAAGATTGATAATGGGTCTTCAATGGTGGATATTTTTGGGACCAAAGGTCCAACCACAACAACTGGTCAACCCATCTTTCAATTCATCTTAATAAAAAGACGTGCAATATTGGAAGTGGTTGATGTTGCGACTCAAGTGCTCATGCCTGTTCTACATTTGTTAGTGGGACATTGATTGGGCTTGGTTTTTGGGACAAATCAAGGCCTTCAAATAGGGGTGATTCTATTTGTATCAAAATAATATTCAGTCCGCTGAATTCAAATGTAAAATTTTAATTCTTATTATATTTTAATATAAATTTATTAATAAGTATAATAATAAAATATATTTTTTTTCTCATAGTATACCTAAACCATTTATATATATTCTTTATCAAGAAATCATTATAAATCTTATTATTTTTTATCATTTTATTTTCATCTAAACGATCGTTGAATAGATTTACACAGAATAGATAATTAATAACAAGAAATAGAGCCAATTTAAATATACTCTTTATCAATTACTTAATCCAAACACTACCCTCAAAACATCAATAAGCGCATCATAAAATTTTAAATATGCTGAATCCAGGACACTTTCTCATCATCACAGGCCACAACGAAGCACCCACGCCATAGACATGGCTGTACATGCATCATTTGCATTCAGCCCCTAAGTGGAAAGGGCCCTAACTAAGCACAAGCAAACATGCACATGTTACATGTAATATCTACTTAACGGAGAAGCGCCGATTTCGGACCATGATGATGCAGCGTGAGCAGAAACAATCAGTGAAAGATGCAAAAATAAGAAATGCAGAAACTGCACGTCAAAAGTCACAACAACACCCACTTTTTATCCAAGACATTGTCGGATGACAACAACGGAGTCCAAACCAAAAAAATCCCGATTAGTGAGGATTTGGATGATGGTGAGATCCGGATGATAATGACGGTCAAGCCCCGACATCATCCTCTTTCGTCTGTGTGGTCGTTTCGTTTCTTAGGTTTTTGAAGATTTTTACAAAATAGTATAATTTGGAATTTTTTATTTGTTTATTATCTGGGGTATCTTAAAGGGTAATTTAATAATAAACATAGAGTAGGCTGACAGTAAATTATAACTCTAAATAATTTAATAAGGTACATTGAGAAATTGAGTTTTTGGTGTAAATAGAATTCTTCTTCAACTAGTGTGAGACTGGACTACTTGGGCATACTGGCTACTTGGGCTTAGCCAGTATGTCTCTCAACCATTTGGGCTCAAGCATTCTAGCTTGCTACTGTTGAGAAAGGAAAGTTGGGCTCAAAATTATAGGCCTCAACTTATGGGCCGACTCGCTTGGCATCTGGACCATACAAAAATGGCCTCTTAGAGTTGAAACATCCACTAAGATATAGGGGTGCAACTAGGGCGGGCTCAATCCGAGCAACCTGAATTTAGCCTGAATTTTTTTAGGGCTTGGATAAGATATTTTCAAATTCGGTACGGGTTTGGGTAAAAATTCAGAAGCACAAATTAAATTTGGACGGATTTGGGCAAAGATATCAAATTGAATATATATTATATATACAAATAACATAAAATCTTATTCTTTTTTATTTTATTTTATATTTTAACTCATAAATTGTAAAGACTACTATAGCGGCATCTCTTTTACATTATATAAATTATTTATTTTTGATGGTATTAATGATTTTCTATATATATAAAAAAAATGTAAATAGAGTCAAATTTTAATAATTTAATAATGTAGCTGCAAAAAAACAAAATACAATTCAGGTAACTTGGGTTTAACTTAGGTCAGGCATAAGCAGACAATCTCGGGTTACAATTCGAACTTGGACAGATCTCATCACAATTTAAGATAGACTTAAACAACTTCTCAATCCGACCCAACGTGCCTGAGTTACACCCTTACTAAGATGGGTGGCAGCCTGCGAACTTCACAGCACTAATGGTGTCTGAAAACTTGTATCGACGAAGAGCTTTTTCATTTTATTTTATATATATATATATTTTTTTAATGGTAAATGATAATTCGTAAATGAGTTATAATTTAAAAGAAGAGTAATGATTCATCCCCCTTTTTCCCCTACTCCCTTTGACCCCCTCTCTCTCTCATTGGTTATCTTTTCTTTTTCTTTTTCTTTTTTTTCCTGCTCCTCCAATCACCTCCTGCCACGTGGCAAGAGGGGGTGAGGGGGTGACCCCCCAAAAGGGGGTCCCAAGCATTATTCTTAATCTTATAACATTTTGGATACTCTCAAAAGTTTATTACGTATTTTTTTTTTCTTCGTTCTTCTCTGTACATTCATTCTTCTCTACCGTTTTCTCTTCATAATTTTCAGCAACCACGCCTTACTTTTTATTTTTCTCTTTCTAATATATAGTCACCGGCGACCAATAACTCCTTACTTCACCCTCGCTGACAGCAAAAGAGACGAGTTTTCGACAAAAAAGATGAATAGATTTACATCAAATTCGAGTAAATCTACATTAGATCCGGCTTTATCTAAACCAAAAATAGTTGCCGAAGTACAACTTGCTCTCTATATCTGTTTCTCTTTTTCAATCTCTCCATTTTTTTACATTTTCTTTACTACACACTTCTATTTTATTGTTTTAATGGAGAAATTTTTTAAATTCTGAATAAGTTATTTTCGAATTTTAGTTACAAGTGATGAAAATTTTAAAATTTTACAGTTTTTGTTTTTTTGGTACTGAAATGAATCTTGCTTTAAAATTGCAAAAAATTTACAGTTTCATAACATTATTTAGAACTGTAAAATTTTATAGTTTCATAACATACTTTCCAGTTTGATTGATAAAGATAAATGCTTAATAGAATCATACTTTGAAACTGTAATATTTTACAGTTTCAAAACTTGCTCTTCAGTTTGATCAATATTGAAAATTATTTGCTTAAACAATACA